TAAACAATTCCATGTATTTGGATAAGCTGTTAGGCCCTTCTAGGGGCCCATCCTCAAATAAAAATGAAGGGGTAGAAGTAGCTTAATGACTTCTGTGCTTTCTCACCACACATCAGCCGCATACGTCGTTAGCAGAGAAAAAGATCGTACCATTTGACAGCGAGTGGAAGATCTGTGTACTGGTTTATGCAATTTTTGTCTGATGTTTAGACCAACCTTGCTTTACAGTTTGCTTTTTGTTCTGTTAGTAAAATATAGTGCACGGACTACTTCCAGGACATAGGAGGTCACTTGGCACAGCGGTTCGACATCTACCGCAAGTTTGTGCCGTGTATTCGTACGCTCTACATGACCTGTGTACTTTCGGGGGCGTGTACGGCATGAAATCCGGTTAGCAACAACAGTTTTATCTGGTCTCTGGTGCGTATTATCCCGAGCCTGGAGCCGGGTGTTTATCGTCTCTGCTATTTCATACAATAGCAAGATCCAGTGACTCCGATTCCTTTTTGTCGAAACGTCTAAAACAAGTCATCTTTACGTGTTTAGTTACCGAAAGCCAGGCTTCTATACGAAACACTGTCGCATATGACAGGGTGTGATTTTGTGATCGTAGACCGTTTAGTTCGTGACAAAGAAGTGTGCTCTTGAACCTCGATTTCGCCTTTCTTCGGATTAGTTTCCAGCGACCGAAAATGACTCAGGCAGGGCCTTTTTAGTTGCCTCGTGATACGCATAAAGGCTATGTACGCCTGAAAAGGATAAATCATGCGTTCTTCTTCATTCCCAGTTTCCTGGTAAATTCGCTTTGTTGGCTGTAGTGCGTAGGATCATGGTTTTCCGGACCAACGACCAAGGCCCTGGAATTCTTATAGTGTTCTTTGGAACTCCCAGTTCTAAGAAACATAATAGTCTCCGTCTCTTATAATGACAATTAAAATGGGCAAATTCATTTAGCGTTTATTTTCTAGCCATAGCCGACTTATATTTTTCCAATGCAAAACACTTTTATCGTCTGCAAATATACTAGACAGACCAACTGCCGATTTCGATGAGATCCACTGTGTGTACCACACCGGGACGTTGACTTGCGCGTGGATTACAGCACAGTGAGAGTAGACTTGCGCTGCATCTACCACACTCTCCTCCCCCAACTGGATCCGCTGTCGTGTCAAAGTCAAAAAGACCGGAATTAGGAGGGTCCGCAGGTGGCTGA